GGAGAGGGGGGGGGGGGGGGGGAGCGGACGAATCTTGCCTCATCGGGGGAAAGGTGAACCACTGTCCTCGTTGGATCACGGTTTGGACAGTCATGGCTTTCTTCTCTGGTCACCGGGACAACCTCTTCTCTTACAACATCTTCTGGTTACAGGACTTAGAAAGAGTGCACCGTACATCCCGCCCCGTCCGTACGTAGTTTGGTTGATGCACGAAATGTGTAGCTTCACTGTTTTTCAAAACTCTTTTTTTAGTTTTCAAGGGTAAAAACCAACAAAAAAAGCAAAGATTAGAACAAAGGATGCAACAAAAGCAGATCAACCTTTGGGGTTCTTCACCTCATGCGTAGTACATGTACAAGCTGTTTGCAGCAGCACAGGCGACGGAATTCTCTGTCGGGTGCCAGGCCAAATGCAGCAGCTTCGTCGTGAAATCGAACGAATTCCCGTTTCCATCCGACCCAGGGCTCTCTGATCCTGTGTTTCATCGATCATTCCATACATAACTGAGTTTAGAAACAAAAACTACCGAGCTTTCGGATTTTGATGGATGCAGTTTTCGGAGTACTAACCCCGTCTCACTACGCGTGTTATACTGCTGAGGGATCTTGAAGGTCTTGAAGGTGTTTGAACCTGCCTCCTATAAACACATTTTTGCACAAGTTTTGCTTGTTCAGTTCCATAACTATTAGTGTCTGTGGAGATATCGTCATTTTGTAACGTACCTCATCGGGTTTTTGCTGGCTTCCAACGTTGTGGCTTCAGTAATTCCAGGAGCAACTCCAAATACACGGAATAAATTGCTGGTCCACACAAATATTTAGGATAATACTATGTCATTTTCCATCTCACGTGAATGGGAAAGCATTACAAAAACAAACCTGTAAGAACCCGTTGCTACCCGCGATCCATCACCACTTAGGCAACACTCAAATTTATCAAAGATTGAGTCATTTTCATATAAATCACAGAGCTGCAACAACGCAAAAAAATAAAAATAAAAAAAATTCCATGATTAGACTTTGAAGAAAACATCATAGGCATGAGAATGCCAGAGACAGAAACTCACCTTTGGTCTCAAGTGTTCATGAACCTGGTAGGTTGCAACAGGACCCGAGTCCATATTTATGTCCCACAGCTGAAAATTTGCAAGGGGAAGAAATCAGAAAGAATTGAAAGACTATATAGATATGTATTCAAAACGATCCAAACGTAACATCCAGAGAAGATGGTAATAAATAACACAGAAAAATGGATAGTTTACTGAAATTTGATGTCAATAAAAGAGAAAACACAGCAAGAACTTAAGCGAGATGAAAGAATTGTCAGACAATATGCACAGAGACATGTATGTAATGATGGCCCGTGTTTTGAAAACTTTAAGCAGTCGCAAGGGGATTTCTAATTGTCAAACCTTGAGCGTCATGTAATCACGACTTAGTATGTATCGTCCATCCTTTGAGAATTTAATATCTGAGATGGAGGCAATTATCTCTGTGAAAAATGATCTTGAACCAGGTGCTTCTGGCTCTTCAAATCTGTGATAAAAAAACAATAGTCCAATCTGAAATAGTTACTATACATATAGACAAGATAAAGTAATGATTGAAATCAAATTCCACTTATTTGTCGTCTCTCATACAAGCAAGAGCCACGTCTGTATTCAATAGAATCCAGATCATTCACCATTGCTGCTTTGAATATCCAACATGATGAAAGGAAACCACAGAAAAGGATTACAACTTACAATTTGGAATGAGTATCACACAAAGCTGATTGCCGCAGATCAATAAGACGAATGGATCCTTTAGAACTGCTATAAGCAAGCACATTACAATGGATAGGATGGAACTCGGCTGACGTGATAACCTCTGCAGTAATATATCATACTTAGTATTATTACGCTCATATAATACTAGAAAAAGAGTAAAAACAAACCCCCCTCGGTTATGTAGATTGTGTCTTAGTTTGACTAACAATAGGATCAAAGAAACCAAGAGAGGCAGGTTTGGAAAAGAAAAACAGAAGCTCTAGAGTTTATGGAAGGCCAAACTGCCCAGTCAGTTAAAACATTCAATGTACATGTAAAATATAGATCGCTGCTAACATATGTTAATACAGCTCCAGACAAGCTTTTGGAACAAAAAGGAAAGGAAGAAACCATATACCAGTCAGGTCCTCCATGTTTGCAGGTTTAACATCAACAATATTGAAGCTCTGGTTGCTGATTCCCAAATTCCAGAGATTTACTCGCAGATCATCCGCTGAAATAAATGTTTCTCCATCACTGCAACATCATGGAAGAAAATCTTTTCACCGGGAACAAAAAGATGCACAAGTAGCGAAATTCAGGATAAGATACAAAATTCCACACAAATATTAGTCACAAAAAAAAATTATAAGAAGATATTTCTACAACTCTACAATCAATATGCTTCCGTTCTAACAATTTCCTTAATAATTTTGCAATTGAGTAGCAGTGGATTTTTCTCTAAGGAAAGGAAAGTCAAGGAGTACCTGCTGTTTGAGATCGAATTGATATGATAATCATGAGCATGAGTATAAACTCTTCGGCATCTAGCCACAATGCTGGCTTCCTGGCTAGTTACCTAATTATCACAGAGGCATGCATTAGTCCAAATAAATGATTGATAGGTTAATATATGGCATTAAGCTAGTACTAGGCTCAATAAATAAAGACAAAAAAAATACAGGACACCTAAGAAACTTTCAATAATCTTCTCAAACCAACCAGCCACGATGATGTAGGGTTCATCATATGAAAGTCTACTGGAAGGTAAATGTTGCAAGTTCTATTCTAGGTGGCGGAAATATCAAATAGATATTGAATCAACCTTTCAAACTGAGAGGAATACCAAAGAGATGGCATGAGAATAGTGAATAGATTGGACACTCTAAACAGTTATCTTGTTCTCAGAACCTTGATACTAAGACACTGTCATTTCCAACAAAGAACCAAATAAAAAAGGAAAGAGATACTGCATTGAGTACAACTACCACAGGCAAATGCAGAGACGGAAATCCTCCTGGAGGGAAAGAAAAGTCATTGCTCAGGTAATTATGTGTTCCATCCGCATAGAGTCCATTAGCAACGGACTGGGATGGGCTACTTGAACTTGTTAGACAGCCATTTCCTACAGCCTTAGATGGATCGACATTCATATCACAAACTTTCTTGATCTTCTTCTCTTGGACCTGTTTCATTTGAAAGTAAGAAAAAAGCAGAAGGAAAAAACCAACAAAAAGAAGAGGAAACTAATCCTTTTTTATTGAAATGCAAGAAACAAGGAGAACCAATTTCGAGACCAGCCATATATATTTCACAATATAGTCAACATCTGAATACCAGAGTAAAAAAGCGAAATATGACAGGCAAGCAAGCTCATCATTACAAAGGTCTTAAACCCTTTTTAGCCAAGATGAGAGTATCATGTTTCTTTTCACCTTCCAGAATTTTATCGTCTTATCATTTGTCGAAAGAAGAAACAATGCGCCATTTGCTGGCTGACACCATCTGATTTTGTTGATTTTCTCTTCTATCTCCAAACTCTTGAGATAGTCAAACTGAAAGAGAATGGAAAGCAAGGTCATTTCAAGCACAAGTGACAGTCACCGGCGAAGCAAAGTCTGGTGAAAATTTTTAATGAATACCTCGGGTTCGTGACTCTGGAACTCTGTTTTATATCGAAACTCAGGATGTTTAACAGCATAATCAGCTCTCTCAAGATCCCTTCTGGATCCGCCATGCTATAAATAACAGTAAAAAAAGGATTGCTTTACAACCAAAAAAACAAATGCCAAAAGAAAATCCAAGTAAAGCTTGTATTATACAAAGGAACGCACATCTTTCGCATCTGTCCTCTCAAAAAGAACCACTCGGCCCCCACGATCACCAGTTGCAAGGTGATCTCCACTTTTATTGAATTCAATGGCTGAAATTATATCAACTGGGGAAGAAAATAAAACAGACAGAATTGTTATCCATCTTGTGTAAGAACTATAGATTGAAGGCTAAACATGGTTAAAAATTTAGGATGCAATAGGCATGTTTCTTCAACTGATAAAAACAAGTCGTTCATACATGCTACCCAAGGTAAATTGCGAAGGCAGACAAGTGGAATGGATTTGCACAGTGAAAAGCTTAATGTTCGGATGCACTTAAAAAAGGAAGAATGATGAAGAATTTGAACGAATATTTCCTAGTTCCATGGCACGCCTCGACAACACCATCGAACAATGTTTACACCAGATTGACAAATTCATCAGAGGAAATTTCGCTAATGTGCTAATAGTTTCCAAAATTAAGAATTGAAAGCATAAGTGCATAACATTTCTGGCTTTTTCAGGGAGAGCTAGTTTCATCATGTTCTAAGAACGGATGTCTGTACAGAAATGAAAGGCTCACCAGTCAGAAGAAACCATCTACTGCGCCAACTCAATATTGTAAATTGCAAGACACATCCTAAGCCAACTTCCAATGGTCGGGAAAAAAAAACTTAGACTCACCTTCTAGGGATTCAAAAGAATAGAATCACTCATGCAAGGTAGAAGGTGTACATAAAACGAGATCCTTTAGCCTCACAATGTTCATCTGAATGTATTGCAATGCTGAGTACCCTGCCTATAGGACCCAACTATACTTCCAAGAACACAAATCTTAGCTACCTCCACTACCAATGACTCAGAAACTCTACTATCACTGAAATCGAAACCCCGTAATCGAAGCCACGGATTCATCATTGGCCCACTCAACAGTAGAATATTTTCTCACTAATCCATGAACGAGATCCAAACCACAAATCAAACCCATGTTCCAATCATATCGTTCGGATCTAATGAACAGGAGAAGAAAAGCTTATCACCGCACTCTATCACGCAAATACCGAGAGATTACCTTCCTGAACTTCTTCTCCGGCGGTTCGCTCGCCGAAGACCTGAGAGAATCTCCACTCCAATGGCGGAGGCGGCCCGCTTCCTTGGGAGGTGGCGGCATCACCGCCGTTCATTTTGTCCGAAGATTAATCCCAGAAAAAATAACTAAAAAATGGAATCCGAGCTTCGAGAAGAGAAATCCGAGCTTCCAAATCTCAATCACAGAATCGGAGATCGCATCATCGCCATAACAATCCTCTTCAATTCACATTCCATCATTCCACCGTGATCATGGTTTTCGCCGATTGAAGAAGCCTTGATCAATGAATGATGAATGATGACAAATTTTTTGCCCCCTTTTCTTTCTCTCTCTAAAAAAATGGAATTCTCAAATTCTCTCTCTAGAAAATTAAGAACCGGGGAGAGGAACCTCTTTATGCTCTATTTTTTTTTTCAGGGACCAAAATGGGCTGAACACAAATCATATACTTATGTCTAATACTTAAATGTTTTTGTCCTGATATTAAGTATTTGTCTCAGTTTCAGGTTTCAGTAACAGGTGGCTGCTAGTGGTTGGTGACATTTTATTGCGCATTTATATAATTGGCTTAATGCGGAGGTGCGGTTTATATTATATTTAAAATAAATTGATAGTATTCTTTTTCTTCGTCTAACTATTATTTTTAATTTTAAATTGTTTTTGTCAACTTAAACAATTTGTTTTTGTCCTAGCTGAACTAAATGTCACCTTCCCTAAATGAATTTTTAGAGTAAACAAATAAGATTTAATTGAAGAAAACACATTCTAAGTTTTGAAGTTAGAAATAAATAAATAAATAATTATGGAGTTTACTTTGGTAATTTACATACGGATATTTCTCTAAGAAGATCAACGACAGCAGCTTCTTTGGAAATGGGCTTCCCTCTCAGGTTCATTGACGGTTGTCGACTTGCCGGGTGAGTCGCAATTCTGCATTACCAAAACAATCTCGACTAATCCGCGAGTTTGTCGTAATAGTAAGTCGAGAAATTCAGCCTAAACTTTGCCGAAATCGAATCATCGAGACAGGCAGCTCCACGCTACTCTTTACTATGATTTCTTTGAGAAACGATCTCACCAGATATGGTTATCAAAATTCAAGAACTGCTTTAGAATATATGTCATGAGTTGTGTAACGTTTTTTACCGAGCTTGTTTGAGCGCATTGTATCAAAAAAGCTGTCACCTTTTGATGTTCTAAGTCCGTTTTCGCAACGGAGTATATGCGAAAGAAATGAATGACTAGGAGACACTATCTCGATCGGGAATAAGACGAGAGCCCGAATTTCATAAGCAGTAAGCACATATGCTCAATGAGAGAACTGCTGCCAGCCCGGGTGCTATTTTCCACTTTCCTTACCGAACGTAAAAGCATACCAAGGGTGTCGGAGTTTGTGCATATTGACATATGGCCGAAACCCACAACCGACAAGGAGGTCGATATACAACAAGACAACAAGATGGCACATAACAAACATCCATACACCATACCACTCAATGTCGAGAAACTTGAACTATTTCCATTATCGGATTAACAGATGAGCAGATGGTTTATCCGTCAAGTACCCGACATATACGTTTAACCAGGCCTTCTCAATTTAACTTCAGATATGATCACGATTTCTGAATCTTTCTTTTTTCTTCTAGAAGTGGTTTTGGATTATGATTACGATTTCTGAATATTTCCTTTTTCTTATTCTTCCTGAAAAAAATAGGAGGGATTTTGGATTATGATTGCCATTTCACTTCTGAAACTTTCTTTTTCTTCTTCTTCTTCTTGAAAATAGAAGTGTGGTTTTGGATTCTGATCACAATTTCTGAAACTTTCCTTTTCCATTGCGTTCAATGATTCTCGAATTCTTTAAGACCAGGTAAATATGAATATGTGGCGATCATACGTTTAATCACAATGCGAACGATGAATGAAGATGAGCCCCAAGTGGCGGGAAAGGCGCCGCCGCCTTCGGCTTCTCGGTCGGCCATAGCGTCGCTGGAGGAGCTGAGAATTGAAGCAACAGTAAAGGAGATTCTCACACCGTTTATGGCGAGATTGGATCAATTTCTCACTGCCCAAGAAACCCTGACTAGGGTTTCGAACGTTGCGGCGATGCACAAGCAGCCTGCAACGAGGGAACCAGCGACATCCAGGGATGCGCTTTGGGACACGTGTGATCGGAACGAGGTCTCGGCAACAGCGGTTCTGCGGCCCGAACTGGAGCAGCACGAGGGGTGCAGTCGGGAAACGCCCGCGGACAGCCAGACAGCAGCTGCAGCAACCGACAGAACCGAGGCAATGAGAAGTATAAAACTACGGTCGGAGGCTCAAGCCTCGTTCACAACATACTGCCGATCAGAGGGCGTTAGCTCACGGTTCGACCTCATGGAAACCCTAGCGATCAAGCCGCTAGCGATCGAACAACCGGGGATAGACACGCTCAATAAGATCGAGATGCACATCATAACCAAGAAACACGAGGAGGTGCAAACCCTAGTTAGCACGAAGAGGGCGATTATGTGTGGTCTACCAGCATCTCGACAGTCTACGATCAAGGATCAAAGCTTGGGAACGAAGGTCAAGGAAGAACAAGAACGAGAAAACGCGCCACATAAGGACACGCCAAAGGACTTAACTTGGGCCAAACAAAACCGAGTCCAAGCCCGAGATCCACCACCATTAGGAGGAGTCAAGACCCGGGCACAATTAAATAGCCTGACAACCGAACCAAAGACTCAAGTGCGTCGGTCGGATCGCGTCAGGGCACAGAGGGAAGACGGGCGACAGTCTATAAGGAGCGGCAAAGAGACAGTTGGCGAGGCGATAGATGATAAGTTGGATAGGATAGTAGATGAACAAGGAGGTATCAGTACGCGGAGACGTTCAACTTCGGCATATTTGACATTACTACGTCTCGTCGCCATTCCCAAGGACGGAATCCGGAACAATAGAGACTTGTCGATGATTCTTAACGTATTGCTGAATACTAAATCTTGATCAGTATTGCAAGCAGTGTTCGGAAGGAAAGGATTACAACTGATGCAAGAAATCACCAAACATCACATGGGAAACTGTAAGAAGGCCCCAGTAATCAGAAAACTGCTAAAGGTTTTGGTTTTTCTGGCATCAAGAGAGATCCTTACGTTGGAGCAAATTCTTGGAAGAAGCTTCAAGGATATGATGTCGTTGCTAGCAGGGCATAAAGATAGACAGGTGCAGAAAAGCGCACGAAATTTCATCCAACCATGGATTCCGAAATCACTCAGAGGGTCGAAGGGGAATGGCGGCAACCCGTTGGACATTCGGCCAGTTCCGCAAGAACAGGAAGAGTGTCCGGACAAGAAGAGTGTTGTGTTGCGTGGATGTATTACGAGGGGGCGTAAAAGAGCGAGGGAGTTGGAAGAATCATCGGAAGACGAAGAGAAGAAGCGAAGGAATCCAAGGCTGGTGGGAAAATCTCCAACTTCACGTTGAAGATGTACGGTCAAATTCAGAAAAAGAAAGAAAAAAGATGTACGGTCAAATACAATGTTGGATTTTTTATTCAGTTAATTGGGTTTGTATGTTATTTGTTCACTTGGGCTTGGGCCCAAAGGTCAAAGCCCTAGAGCAGCCCTAGTGTAATTTCCCTATTAAATGTATTTTCAATAATTCACTTTAAGGAAAAAAAAAAAAAGATGGATACGACCAGAAAAAAAAAGTTAATATTTGGTTATAATATTTAACATGATTTACCTTATCAATCCTATATCTAAGTCAAATTTGGTTATAGTTTCGGTCACCCCTAGTTACAAATATATACGTAATTTAATCAAATCCATAATGTTTCTAACAACAAATTTGATGGAAAGATATACTAAATTACAACGAATTTATGTTTTTATTATAAAGTCAATCAGAATCATATTTGTGTGTGTGTGTGTGTCTAATTACAATTCATGTAAAGCTTCCGTTGATATTTGTCGGCTCAGACAATTCTTTAGTTTTTTCCCCTCTCTCTCTCTCCGACGCTGAAAAAACACGCGTGAAAGATCAGATTTTTCCCCAAATTCCACAAAACCCTAGATTCCCCATCTTTCAAATTCCTCCAATAAGATCAACCGATCGAATTCCGAAGAAGATCAAGCGTTTAATTGATCTCGATCGACATGGGTAACACCGATAAGCTGATGAACCAGATATTCGATCTGAAATTCACGTCGAAGTCGCTGCAGAGGCAAGCGAGGAAGTGCGAGAAGGAGGAGAAGGCCGAGAAGCTCAAGGTGAAGAAGGCCATCGAGAAGGGCAACATGGATGGTGCCCGAATCTACGCCGAGAACGCCATCCGCAAGCGCAGCGAGCAGATGAACTACCTCCGCCTCGCGTCGCGCCTCGACGCCGTCGTCGCTCGCCTCGACACCCAGGCCAAGATGTCCACCATCACCAAGTCCATGACCAACATCGTCAAATCCCTCGAATCTTCCCTCGCCACAGGTACTCTTATCGTCATATTTACGTTGACCCACTCCGATACCTTCTTCCACGATCTGTTTGTTCTCTGACATCAACGAATTGGTATGATTTTTTCGTTTGTACGTTAGTTTGTGATCTCCTAAGTCTTAATCAAGTTTAAAATTCGAAGCTTTTTTCCCCAGTTGATGATACATTGGGTGTGATTGAATGAATCTCGATGTCTCAGAATGGGTCTCTGCCTAGTGGTGGTGTTTATTCTATGTTTTGCTTGATCGTGAAAACATAACGTTCTTCCTAGTTCTGCGTTTGCTTCTCAAATGATTTGATCCTTGGAACAGGCAACCTGCAGAAGATGTCAGAGACAATGGATCAGTTTGAGAAACAGTTTGTGAACATGGAGGTCCAGGCAGAGTTCATGGAGAATGCAATGGCTGGGTCTACTTCGTTGTCCACTCCAGAAGGCGAGGTCAACAGCTTGATGCAACAGGTGGCTGATGATTACGGTCTCGAAGTCTCTGTTGGACTTCCTCAGGCTGCTGGTCATGCCATCCCTACCACCTCTCAGGAGAAAGTTGACGAGGACGATCTTACCAGGCGGCTTGCCGAGCTCAAGGCCAGAGGGTAATAAGCTGTAACCGAGACCAAACAACTGCATGTGGGATTGATTAGCTGTGGTTGTGCATGCATTCTTATCATATCGGTATGCTTATGCTATTATCTTTCAACGTTGCCATATTTCTGTAAGTTGCTCTCTCTGGAGTAGGCTTTGCTTGTATAAAACACAACTGGGTTTACATGTTTGCACTGATGCTTTTGCTGATACATTAGCTCGTGTTTCGAATGTCTGCATATATATATATATATATATATATATATATATATATATATGTATATTACATATATTCATAGACAGACTGAATCAAGCAGCGGAAACACGGAATACATCCTTATTCATATAGATCTAAGTGCTGTATTCTAGGCAGATCGGCATATAGGAGACAGTATCATGTTACATTGCTTGTGAGCCTCTGAATGGTCTTCTGAAGCTTGTGGATGAACTTGGTTGATTTGGGACGTGATAAACGGAACCCAATGGAATCAAGATACTAACCACTCCTTCCATTCAACCCAATGATTCTCCCTCCTTCAACCGAGAAAATGAAGGGTGTTCCTTGTTCCACTCCATAAGTTCCGTACTCTCGTTTGTTGCTCTTGAAAGTCAGTACCCGGATCACGGATGAGCCACGTGAACCACCGGGCAGTAGTATCTGCTCATCGAGATCAAATACTCATCTGGGTATTGCAGCTTTATCTAGAAAAAAGACAAGCTCGGCGAGTTTAGCTTGGTAGCTCAAAGATTAAGCAGAACCATATCGAAACATGGAAACAGGGACTGGTCCTCTGCTGTCTTGTTGCCACCCAAACCACCGTGCTTCTCAGCTCTTACAGATTTACCGTTCTTGTCGTAAACCACGGAGATGGAATCGATGCAGTGGTCATATACAAGTTTAATCTCTCGGACTCCATGGTAGGTTCCATCGTCCCAAGTGGTTCCCCCATTTCCACCCCATGGTCCTACAGATACGCCCATCTTCTTCTGACCCTTCTGTTTCCCATCCTTCTCTCCGTCCTGCAAGATTAGTTACATCCATGGATGAAGAACATCTCTCAAGTGGACAAAAATTACAAGGGCTATTGATCTAAATACCATTTCCTGAGGACCCAATTTGAGATATAATGCAGCTGAAAGGCGTCCCCGAGTGTAAACAGATCAAACGAGAATCGCAAGAATCGAGTATTTGGCTTCACCGTAAAGTTTATAAAGGAGGAGAACCTAACGGGGCATCGGATTCCATCCGAACGCACTATATGGGGTCGAAGGAAGGGTCGGAATCTGTCATAGAACAGATTCCACTAGTGTTCATAGACGCGAAAGGCGAAGAGAAGATAAGATGCATCTCGTGTTCACACATCACACGTCATTTACGTGATCATCGAGGAAGAACAATACAAAACCGTATTCTGCATATCTATGAAAAGTGGAAATGGCGACAGAATCTGTGTCATCAACCTCGATTCTCTTCTGCTCACAATAGCCCGAACGAATCCGATCAAGAAGAAGTACAACCAAAAGAACAGAACTAATGAAAAGAATGATCATCCTATCAATTCCGAGTCCATGCGCTTGCTCGGATCACCTGTATCCCATTCTCTCTCTCTGAATCACCAAACCCATGTACCTTCCAAGCATCATCAACGTGGCTTGAGGGTTGGTTCCGGGGGAGATATTGAACGTCGATCCATCCACCACTCTGAGACCGTCGATTCCAGCCACACGGAAATCCGCATCCACCACTCTCCCCGTCACGCTGCCTCCGTGGTAGTGCCATATCGTGCTCACCGTCTGCCTGCAGAACTCCGACAGCATCTCGTCGTCCGACAGATCCTCGGGCAACGCAGGCCCCACAAACCTGAACCTCCTTACCCCAAACCATTCCCTGAACATGAATTCCTGCATTGCTCGGCTCCTCAGCATCTCCCCTATCTTCCTTGTCCCGTTAACACACCTCTCCAGATCCACCGGATTGCTGAAGTACTTGAACCGGACGATCGGGTTTACCCTCGCATCTGTCGAGGCCAGCCTCAGAGAACCTGCAGATGACGGCCCTGCGATCTTCTCCATTATCGTAGCCACAGGTACATACAGAGGTGGAGACGGAGTCCTGACGAAAACGGAGCGGATAGGCGACACGAACGGGATCACACTAGAGGCAGCTTCGAGAAAAGCTCCGACTTCCGTTATACCCACAACTTGTATCAGCGAACTCTCCAGCGGAACGGGCAGAACGATGGAAATCCCGTTCCTCGGGTTATCGTACAAGTACTCCCCGACGTAGGGTTGGTGAAACGCAATGGGAATACCCCACGAAGAGAGATAACCCCTCGGGCCGATACCGCTAAGGAGAAGCAACTGAGGGCTGCCTAAAGCGCCAGCTGACAGTATCACTTCTCCCTTATCCCTGACCAGCGCGTGATGGTACCGTCCGAGCTGGTCACGGTACACGACCCCAATGGCCGAGACGTTATTAGAACGGGAATCACTGGGGGAAGAAGCCAACAAGACTCTCTCCACTGTGGCGTGAACCGCTACTCTGATATTGGCAGATCTTGCATATCTCAGGAGATCTGCAGAGCTGTGTCTCCTCCCGAATCGATCAAATGTTGATCCTCCGATCTTTGTCCCCACCCGATGTTCCAAGGTATACTCGTTAAAGGGTTGAACTCCGGCCTCGAGCAATGCGTCCCGGACCGCGGTCTGCCACCTCCTGAGACGAGGCCGGAACACAATTGCCCTCTCAACCCAGTCGTAGGACTGGTTCACTGCCCTAAGGTCCCAATTCACGCCAGAGTTCTTGAAAAACTGAATGTCTGCTCGGCTGTAAAACCCAGCGTTAATGGCGCTGCTACCGCCAAGAACTCGGCCTCGGGCGTTAGGGACTCCGTCCTCAGAAGTGAAGGCCTGAGCGGGGGAATCAACGCCGTTAACGTCTATGAGAGTCGACAAGAAACCGTCACGCGACATTAGGTTTGCTCTGTTGTACGGAACACCGCCGCGTTCGAGGAGGAGAACTCGGTAGGACTGAGACAACGTCGCCGCGAGCGGGCAGCCGGCTGTTCCTCCGCCGACGACTATGTAGTCGTAGTAATCCTCCGACGCGAAGTCCGTCGCGTTCGAGACGAAGCGCATGAAACTCGGCGCTGTGACGAAGGAAAAAACATGGGGTGTTGAAGATTTCAGAATAAAACAGAGAATCCGAAGCTAACTTGATGAAGAGCATAGCCTAATTACATCTTATTGAAAGACACCCAGAAATCCGATTCCTATTTTCTTTCATTCTTCGATGAATTTTCTCGCTTTTTCTCAGCGGGCAAACAAGGAAACGAAACAACGAAGATGAAACTGAAGAAAAAGTTCTGTTCTTTTTCCGAAATCTCTGCAGAGACCCATTCCGTTCTCACGCATTTTCTCGGAAGGCCAATAAAACATCAGAAACTTGAAACCCCAGTAAGAGGCTACGAGATTCAAGCAAAAGTTCTTAATTTTCCTGAGAAAGCTCTGTTCTTTATCACTAATCCCAGAAACCCGTTTCCGTTCTCATGCATTTTCCCGAAAAGCAAACAAAACATCAGAAAGTTAATCCCCTAAGTAAATAAACACGAGATTCAAGCAAAATTTCTGAATGTTCCTGAATTTTCTTGGGGAGCTCACCTCGATAAGTGCGTGTCCTCGCATCAGATCGAGAAACAATTCCAAGAAGTGGAAGAAGAAGCACCAAGAATGACTTGCACATGAGCGAAGGGTCGACCCGTTTCTCCATTCTCGAGATCTCTACGGGAATAGATTCTTAGAGAAGAAACAGAATAAAATTTTCTGGGAAAAGAGAATTTTCTCGGAAGGAGAGAAACAGAGTAAGAGAGCCAAAACCCAGAAGACTATTGTTGTCTGTTATACAAACGTTCCCGCTCTCATTCTCATCAACTGTTCTCCAAATCCCACATAATAAATATTAGCCGTCGATGATTTCTCACCCCCAACGGAAATCAACGGCCATCAAGAGAAGTGAGCATTCTCCCTATTACCTAACAGCACCAGATAATCGCCGTCGAAACATTTTGACGGCGGTTAGCAACATAACTCTTGCCGTTAACTCTTCGTTTCGAGTCAACCAAAACTCGCAAAACGACATCGTTTACTATCCAAACCGGTCTCCGGTTTATACGGTCCAATCCGCAGGCATTTTCTTTCAGAGTTTATTTACCCTCTAATTCTTACAAATTCAACCAAAATTTCGAAAATATGTCCATCTTGAACTTTCAGGCACTTTAATTGCCACTTTTAACACTTTAATTTCCAAGATAATGTATTTGTATGGTTATACGAAGAATAGAAACATATATTTGTCCATAAAAAAAGGTTTATTTGATGAGATTAGTACAAAATATAATGTTATCTATCACGAAGTACCAAATAACAGACCGAAGACGCGGACTATGGAATCTCTTCCTGACGTGTTTTCAGGACATGTCGGGAATGTAATGTACCTACGTACTTTAGCCGGTGCTACCAGATAGATCCCCGGAGAAAGCGCTGCCGTAAGATGTAGAACCAGTCTGTGACTGCGACGTGGAGATTCCACGAGCTTTACGCATCTGCCTTAACCGGAAAACATCTGTGGGAAGTGGCTGGCTTTGTACGGTTGATGTATCATCTTCTTCTTGCCCTGTTTCGCAAGACATTAGCATGCAAGCAAACAAATTAGACAACATAATTTGTACACACAATGTGTATGAACTTACTGTCTAAATCCTTTCTCTTTGCAGATCTTCTGTCCCTTGATAATCTTTGAGAGGGACCACCTGGATGAGACCTGGTCGAACCCGAGGTCTCACTTGGATTAGGAGAAGTGTTTGATGGAGTCTTTGCGGAAAATCCAGGCCTCCCCGTCTGATACGTTGGTATGTCACTCTGCAAGCATATCGATAGAACAATGTCCACATTCGGCGTCGGACCTGAAGAATTGATGAACAGTGACCGATTATTGGTTAGAGGTAAACTATTCCGATATGCTTAGTTGTAAGCATGAGTTGGAATCATGCAAAGAGATTACCATCAACAACCGGCAAATTGGCTAGAAACGCGGCCAACGCAGGAGGAGTTGCCTTCGGTATCTCATCAGATCTGCTGGTGGATCCATGAGAAGGCACAGCAGTCACGATACTAGGGGAGGCAGTGGAAGCAATAGGCACCGCTTGCTTAGCCGCCCTAGCAAGCTCTGAAGTTGAAATAATCAGCCAAAAACATAGGGAGCAAGATACATGTAGGAGGGTTAAGGACCACTGGGACAAGAGAGCAGAAACATGTCAGAACTCGGAACCAAATACCTGATTTCTGTGCCGGATCATAAGCAACCATTTGAGATGTGTCTGGATAGATTACTTTCGAGGATGCAGCTCCGGTACCTGTTTGATCGTAAGAAGATGTTCATAATCAGAGATCAGCAAACTCCGTCACAACGGAATTTCCACCAGAAAATTTACGGATCATACCCACAGTTCTGGAACCATTAGGTACATTTGCCTTCTCCACTTTCTTATTCATATTCTTGGCAAGCAACTGCAGCGAATAACCAAGATGGAGTTAACCAAAGCAACGGGGACATATTGATTATTGACTGTAGAATGTATATATAGCCATAAGCAGATAGAACCATTGGCTAGCATGGTACTCGTCAATGCTGACCAAACTAAATGCATCTCAGCAGCTATTCACACCAAGTACAACATGCTGCATGGAAATGTACCTCTTGTCGGGCTAACTGATCAAGATCCTTGGAAGAGCAAGGCAAAAGATCCATGAAACTGTATCGGGAGACAACATCTTGTAGTGAGCTTTCCAGTGAGGACAATCCCTCTTCCCCTATCCTGGAAAGTGCTTCTTTCATTCTCTGCTCAACCTACACAAACATTATAGATCTGATGAAATGTTTTCATAGTAGTGCGACAAGAGGCAGCCACAGATATAAAAGAAGCTTTATTGTGCTTGCATAAACCTCAGAAATATATCAGATATAGAGAAATCAAAATTGAAAGCACACATTATATCAGACATCAAATCAGGTAACGAAAAACTACCTTTAACATGCTAGCCAAATCTCCATATGTTCGCTCAAATTGACAGAATCTTTTCCAGACCTGCAAATGAGAAAACAAGTGAAGCATTGTCCTAGAAAGAATTAAGCACAAGTTTAGAACCCATTCATGTGAACTGACTTTATAAATTCACTCACAACCGTGCAGAAAAGCACAAGTTTAGAACCCATGCATTGTCCTAGAAAGAATTAAGCACAAGTTTAGCATTGTCCTAGTATCAGGCTCTTTCAAGTCGATAGATAGTAACTTCTTCATAAAATGCTTACCAGATTCATCCCCTGTAGATTACATGTTGCTTATATGAAGCAGGCCTTAGCACACAAAGTTTAAGCTTCTGAATTTCAAGCCATTAACTTGTCTAAATAAATTCACTCACAACCGTGCAATAACACAGTTGGTTAGTGATTTGTTAGCAATTTGTTTATTTTCCTTGTATCTCTTTCCATGCATACAAACAAACTTAAACTTTTCTCAAGGCTCAGATAAACTAAAACAACACCTTCAACATACCTCAACAGATTCCTCTGCTGGTAATGTGCTTAATGCCCGCTCGAATAGTGCCCTGATATTTCTGTCATCATTTAACCGAGACAAGAAATCTGCATACCTGAAGTTTGAACCAAAATTGGAAAACTTAAAGCTCTGTTATAAGAATGTTTGGAGAAAACCATGTCCAAAAATACTCAATCTCATATAGCACAAATATCCATCCCAAGAAAAGTCAAATTCGGGCTGAATTGTGTACAAGGAAAATGGGAATGCCAAATAACTTAATCCCACGGACTATAGATACTTCGTAATCAAATACAAAGGCAGGTGGGATGCCAATGACATTTCTTGGTAAATGCCTCGAGCTTCAAATTCAGATTATCACCTCAATCATTAAACCAATTCTGAGTCACCTCATTTTTGTCCATATTAACCATGAGAGAATTTAAAAAATGTCCAATGAAAAAAATATAAACAAAAGAAATTCTTAATAAGGATGGGAGTGACACTCACTCAAGAATGTAAACAGGTTCATTCATATAGCGTTTCAAACCTTCTTCAAAGATGTTGTGTGCAACCTGCATACCAATATAAATATGGAATTTACTGGGGACACTGAAAGGAATACGACATAGGTGGACGCTTTAAAAGTAATCAAAACAATGACAAGTAGCTAAAAAATATAAGAGAAAGAACTAACAGCTGAAAGAGAAGAAGAAGAATGTACAGACAAACATTAAGGCACATCATTTGAATCAAGTTATAAATAGGATAGCATGGCAATGAGCATATATACCTACACCATTAAACTAATTGAAGAGTTTCATAGAGTGAACAACAGCAGTTCATCAACAACCAACAATATTTAAATATTATTTTGATTTCAAACTAGGATACCAGGCTATGTCAAGACAAGATTTAATCATCCTTGTCATCAAATTCTCTTGGATTATAAGAGGCTGAGCGTTAACCATGGTAACAAAAGGAGCCCCCAAGATAAATGCAAGAAGACTATAATACAATCATATGGAAATTTATAACCTTGATCATACACCACTAAATCCTACATACCCCGTTTCTTCATAGCGAGTTTAACATACCGACCAGATCCAACCAAAAAGATAGTGTGGAAAACAAATGCAGGGAAAAAACCTTTGGATCCTTGTCCAGACAAAAGGCCATCATAGCAAAGGCAACATACACATGATATGTGCAGCTGGGAGATTTTCTAGCATCTAAGAAGTACTTGCGAGCTGCTTCAACGCCCTCAGTCCTCCTTAGAAAGCGAAGAAACTACAGAAGGAGAGAAACAGATGAGCATCGGGTGAGCAAAAATATATAAATTTTTCTGAAGCTATTATGGCGTACAGGAGAAAAACAGATAATCAAAAAGAGAAAACAAGCATAGGTAGGCTTCTCATGCTCTGTTTGAATATTAGATCTTTCCAATCATAACATGTTTCCCGAGTTATCCACTAATCCACAAAGGTCAAGAAAACTGTGTATCGACAAGCATGTATTATGGAAAGAAAACAAATAACTCAGGAGAGTTCTTACTTGTATATGTGCCAAAGAGTTTGTGCTAAGCCCCAAAAGACTTTCATATAACTTCTTTGCTGACTGAAAAATAAGACAATATCAGGAATTAGACTAAGAATAAAGGAAAAAGTCAGATGATGAGAAGGTAAGCAAGCAGCCAAAATATAACACCTGGATAGCTCCACGAGATTCCTCCAGCTCAGCATAAGCATATTTCAGCATTTCCGAATCTGACATAAAAGATCAAACAATATAACTCCTAACCTTGGATAAAAACGACGGGCATAGACTCATAACATGTCACACAGCAGAGAGAAATGACTCCTCATGAATTGAACAATGAGAAAATCAGTTAAATCGTAAAATTGACTTAAATGAGGAGGAATCTAAAGTAGCAACGGAAAAATAGTTAAGCCTTGTAAAGTTAATATTCTACAAACATAATGAAACACATGGTAGATAAAGTTTACCCGGCAGAGCATTGAGAGCTCGCTGAAATACTTTGACCGCAGCATCAGCAGAACCACTTTTTATGTGCCACTCAGCATAGTCATACCATACATCAGGGTAGTGATATAAATACATCAGACACTGCAAAAGCAAAAAGTGACAAGCTCCAAATTAAGATAGTACTAAATACTTCACACAACTAGTGTCATGGATGTTGGTCTTTTGCCAATGAGATGGTGAATCAAGATGTGTCTTGACATTAAAATGTGATTTTTTTAGCATGCGCGCCTCACAGAATCGTGGTATACCTGCTCATAAGTGAAAATGATCCGCTTATTTGACAATGTGGCATCGATTCTTTGAGGGTTTCCTCTGAAAAAGAAAAAACTATAGTTAGAATTATGTTACTTTTGGCAGGACTAGTTGAGGATCCAATAATCACTAGTTAAAATATAACCCGGTACTAATAAATTCCAGCTTTCTACAAGTGTGGTCACTGTCAAACAATAACTGGCAAAAAGTCTGAAAGTCTCTCAACTAACCGTTATTGAACCCAACAAAAAAATATTTACCCATGAATAATGTTGCAATATAATAATTTCCAGTATTAAGTCATTCTAGTCACGCAGACCATAGCATACACCATCACAACATATCCAAGGGAGTCCCAAAGGAAAGGTAAATTGATATGCTAAAAGTTTGTTATCACTGATTGGAAACCCAATAGACAAATAAGATGATTGATGACTTCTTACTTTTCAAAGGCTAAAAACTTCTTCCAAGCCATCCACTGAGCTTCTTCCTGTATTCCAAATCATAAAATGGTAAGAGCGTAAGAAAGGGAGCAAATACCGGAAGTTGCATCCCAAAGACATGTGTATGCCTATGTAGATAATATGCGATCTTAAGATGTGAAATTATAGTGTCTGCCTTTTCATAGCCAACTGATGGTTCGATAAATTGGATAAAAAAAAAAGGAAAACAGGTCCCAACAGTTGTGGATGGGGCAAAAGATGTAAAAACTCTTAACCTTGGATGATCCTTTTGGCGGTACAGCAAGCATGTTCCAATCAATTTCGTCAATGTACTTCTTGCGCTCCCTATATACAGCTCTGGCACTGTTAAATTTTGGTTGATGCTCTGATATGAGACCTTTGGCCTGTTTACAGGATATATTAAATTGTCGATCAATTGAATCAGAATCAAACAGATGTTCATACACACCGATAAACATCAAAAGTGTCAGTATAATAAGAACCCAGTAAAATGGAAAAAATGGACATTGTAAAGCAGAGGTTTACCAATTGACGGCTAACAGAATTTTCAAAGTTTTCATAATCTTTCCAAAGTTGCTCAACATGGTGAGTCGGATTTACAATAGCTCTCTGATACACTTTCCGCAGAACAATTTTCCGCTGCGAGTCCTCCTGTGGGCTAGGAACCTGAAATAAAATCTAAGTATTTCATTCTTGGTATCAAGTGATTATCATCAAATAAAAACAAAAACGATTAAATGATATAACAAACCGGGAGAGACTTCAAAAAGGAAATGTACTCCATCCATATAGGCCCGGATGCTATGTCTGTCCCTGGTGATCCAAACATCCAAAATAAGGGCCATCAGCAAAGCCCTTGGTATCAAATGACTTAGCATATACTAGTGGATATCAATGTTATCTATATGATGCCAGCTGATTATTATCAGTTGGTAGAATCATGTACTCTTTAAGCTCGAAAAGAGCTGGAATATTATGCTGATCTTCTCAAACTTTAAGGCAGAGACAACCTATGTGGCTCTATGAATACCACAATTAAAAAACAGGTTATGAAATGCAAATTTGTACAACCCTCGATTTTTAATTTAATTCAAAGGTTATTCCACAGATATTCCAAGAGAACATTCAGATCCTTGACAACTCGTATCAAATTACGAAATCACTAACCCAAATCAGTTATTTCCATCGGCTGATCAAGGCAGCATGGACTAGACAATATAAGGCCAACAAATTCATGAATAGCATGAAACATATATACAGCAAAGATAAAGAAGTAAAGAAACTATATGTGATGAGACAAAATTAAAACCATAAGCAACTAATACTGCAAAGGAAGATAAAACTAAGAGCCTTTGTTAATTTGCATAAATCTTGCATTGGTGACACATAACAATGCTCAAACTCGTATCCTTTACCGATCTGCACCAGAACTACTCCTTTGTTCGAGAAAGAAACTTCCTCCAAATATTGGAAGTACAAGTACATTGAATTAAGATGAAAAATAAACAAGACAGAAGCAACCTCCCAAGAGAGAACCGCACCAATATAATTAAGCATAAACTCAAAAGCCTTTCTGGTCTCTTCTTTGCCCTCTGTTCCCTTCTTGTCATTAACCTTCCTGATGAACCGAATGTAAGATTGCCTAATACAACAGAATGTTTTGAATTAGATTTTTAGGAGTTTGCAATAATTATTTTGGGTTAAGCAATAGAAAGAAATTTAATGATCAAGTAAGAGCAAAGTACAGTCTTCTTCAGATTCTTATCAAGAAAGACAAAAACTCAGGGAGCATTCATCTACTTCAAGACCATGCTTCATCTCACTTAATCATATGAAGAGATTTTTATGTCGCCAACGCTAGCTCAAACAGGAAGAGCTTAATCTAACTTAGAACTAAGTTATATGATATCCACTAAGTTGGACACAGTATGCCTGAACTGAAGCCCATGGAAAACATAATCAACAAGAAAAAAGAAGTTGATTCTAATTCAATAAATAGTCCGTATATTACTTCAACTGTTAGGTAGGGCTGGACTGCAGTTCAATTTATACCTCAATCACTACCATTATCATAAAGCAAAAACTGCTACCTACAACAGAGATAAAATAACACGCAGTAAAAAAAACATGGGACAAATGAAACCATCTATTACTCAATGGGGTGAAATAATAAAAAGGGGCTTCAATTTTCATACCCAGAGAACAGGTAAAAGGCTTAAACTTTGACAGGTGAAAACTTCAAAACTCGGTCATTGTCACAATACAATCTATTTCGCAGAAGGCTGGACACCAAGGCAACACATCAACCCAAGACCAAAAGCCCTTCCCTTTTGCACACGGTTTGAGCTATCCATGTATCAAATCCAACAATATTATGCCAAATACACATGCTGATTTTTTAGTTAAACAAAGAGAGAACACAGAAAGCGATTAGGAGAAAGATATAGCATCGACATGAGACAGCTTATCATACCAGAGAGGAACTTGAAGACAAGTCAATAAACAACGACTAAATATCTGCCTCGTAGCATCGTCGTTGTTCACAGCCATGTGTGCCTCCACATATTGCTTCCAGAATCTTGCCTACAGAAGAACTCGCAATTCAGTAAAAACCCACTTAACAAAATCGGAACTTTCGGTCAAAATCACCGGACAATCCAAAATGGAATAGCAGCGAAGGTTCATGGGAACTCACAGAAGTTGGAAACACAGACAAGAGCTGCTCATATATAGGCGTGGCCTGTGCAATTGGCAAGTGCTAAACAAAAATCCAAAATTTACAAAAGAAATAGAATCAGAAATCTTCTAATGAAACAAGAATCCAAACACATAAAAGAACCAAAAAATTTTGAAACCAGAGAATGATCGATACCAATGCACTCTTCGCCAAAGCCTCCGCCGACCCAACGTTGTACTTATCGGCCATGAATTCCGCCGCCAGATTAACTGGTTGCTCGGTTTCCGCGAAGACGAAGAACGCGAAACCCTAGAAATAGATTCTTCAGTCCTAGGATATGTCGGCTCCGGAGGTATATAACGCCGCCGTGAAGCAGAACGGAGAAGTTCACAGCCACTGCATAGGCGAAGGAAGTACTCCCAGACTCTCCCGAAGCTT